GGGGAGGCAGGAGTGGAGCATCATCTCCCCATGCCTTGGACACCTACCTCCGGGCAGAGAAGAAGAAGAAGAAGCAGAAGCGAGGAGAGGGATCTACACCGCCCACGCCGCCCTTCCCGCTCTCCTACCTGTCCTAAAATCCACCACGAACGCTCCTTGCTGGTCAGGCACCAATGCATCCGTGTCGTCACGGGCCACAATCTCCAGCAGGTAGTACTCCAGGCGGGGGTGGAGGTCCCGGTCAATGGCAGTCACCTCAGCCACCACGGTGCCACAGAAGCGAGGAGAGGGATCTACACCGCCCACGCCGCCCTTCCCGCTCTCCTACCTGTCCTAAAATCCACCACGAACGCTCCTTGCTGGTCAGGCACCAATGCATCCGTGTCGTCACGGGCCACAATCTCCAGCAGGTAGTACTCCAGGCGGGGGTGGAGGTCCCGGTCAATGGCAGTCACCTCAGCCACCACGGTGCCAGGAGCGGCAGACTCGGGGATGCTGACCGTCTGGATGGGGTTGATGAACTCGGGACGGCAGTCGTTGACATCATCGATGAAGAGGCTGACGGTGGCGGTGCCGGAGAGCGCCGGCGTGCCCTGGTCCACGGCCACCCCCGTCAGCCGGTAGGCATCTCGCTCCTCCCGGTCGATGCTGATGTTGGCCACACGGATCAACCCCGTGGCGGCGTCGATCAGGAACCTGTCCTGGCCACCGCCCTCGATCCGGTAATCCAGCTGCTGGTTGAGGCCGCTGTCAGCATCCGTGGCCGTCACCTGGAGGACGGAGAAGCCTGGAAAAGGGGACACAGCCCTCTCAAGCGAGGGTTGAAGGGCAGCGGCAACAAGAACCTGGTCCCAAGGCAAGTACCGTCAAGCAATGTGGGCAGCCCAAACTCCCAAATTTTCCTTTCAACTCCACCCTGGCCAGCACTGACACCGGGAGCTGGATCTTCACAGTCCCAGGGGGACACCCAGGTCTCCCCATTGCCCACCCTCACATCCAGTCCTGACCCGCTCCTGACCTGGGGGGCTGTTCTCCTGCAGCCACACCGTGATGGATGCCGGCTGGAAGACAGGGCGGTTGTCATTGTCATCCAGGATGGTCACCACCAGGCTGGTGGTGCTGTTCAGCCCCCCCACATCATGAGCCACCAGCGTGTACTCCAGGCGAGGGTCTGGCAAAGCCTCTCTGTCTATCACGGCGCCGGGCTTCACCAAAACGATGCCTGGAGAAGGGGAAAAGCCTGGTGACAGACCCCCACAGCTGCCTGGTGGCCCTAAGCTGGGGACGGGAACCTGCTGAGCCACCTCACCTGTCCTGTTGTCAATAACAAAGAGGTCCAGGGATGCCTGTAGGAGCTGGTAGGTCACCACGGCGTTGCTGCCCTGATCAGCGTCCAGAGCTAGGATGGGTCCATTGAGCACTGTGACTGGAGTCCCTAGATGGGATGACAAGGATTAGGGAGGATCGTAGCCCCCCGCAGAGCCCCCCCACCCCCAACCCGGTGACGCATGAGGGACGGCAATGAATGGATGGAGAAGGTGACAGAGCGGGGCCTCGCAGGGCACGAGGCGGCGGTGGGGGGCGGCTGCTGCAGCCTTGCAGACCGACTCGCGAGGCCCAGGCAAGGTGGTGGGACATCCGGCTAAAAACAAACAGACAGACACATCCGTCAGATGGGTGGCACCAGCACTCTGCAGCTGAGGGTACCACCTGGAGGCACCCAAACCCTTCACCTGGGATGTCCCTCGATGGTGGGATGGGGAAGTACCTGAGGTCTTGGAGTAGAGAGCAATTTAAATGGCAAGGCGGCAAAAAATAAAATTAAAATTCTAGCTCTTTGGCTGGGAAATGTCTACCTGGACAGGCTAGACTGTTTTATCTCTAATCCCTGGAGCAAGGTGGCTCCAGGTGCTGGTGATGCATCCCATCCCCTGCAGGGACACTGGGCAAGTTGGCCTCAAGGCTGCCCCCAGGGTTTGGCTCAGCCCATGGGCACGTCTTGCTGTCTGCAGCTGAACAATTCCCAGATGGGACTGACTTCTTGGAAGGTTGTGCCTGACCTGTGCCAGGAAGGGTTTCCACCAGCAGCGTGGACCGAAGCCATGGTGTCCTCAAGGCTGACCTCCCCAGGTGGTCGGCAGGAGCCCCTCATACTCAGCATCCCTGTCCCACTGACCTGCAGCCTTTCCCTGCCCAGCATCGTGTCTCCTCCATAACGGCCGGGTGACACCTCCCCTTGCCCGGCCCCAAAGGGAGGCTCCAGGAGCCACATAAGGGAGCAAAGAGAGACCTACCCGGGGGCAAGTTCTCCATCACCTCAGCCTGGTAGGAGCTCTGGGTGAAGAGGGGGCGGTTGTCATTCTCATCCGCTATGGAAATGACTAGCAGGTCAAAATCCTACAGGAAAATGGGGACAAGAGGGCGATGACTGCAACGTCCTTTCCTTGAGCTCACCTTCCACCTCTCCCACCTCCAGCTTGGTGCTGGTCAAAGCTGGCGCTCTGTGCAACCATGGTGCTGTGCTCCCTGGACCACCCTGGAGGGTCTGCAGGGACCCTCACCCACAGCTGGGTATCCCTTCCCAGCCCGCACCCTGAAGGGTGATGTGTGGGACATCTTGGCAGGGCCAAAGGATGCTCCGGTGTCCTTGTTGTTGTCCCGTTCTCCAGCTCAAATTTGTCCCACCTTCCTTGACATCTACTGCTGTTGCATGGAGTCAACATGAGATGCTGGACTTGCCCTAAATACTATTGGTACTGTTCTCTGGTGGGTAAGGGGTTGCAGCCCCCTCCTTGTGGCCCCCAGATGCTTTTGGGGGATGCGGCTGCGACTAGAAATGCTGTGGGTAAACGCACCGCCTGTTTCTGGCTGTGGCAGGTACCCCTTCTCCCACCCACCCTGCCGCCTGCGCCACTGGAGGCCCCGGCAGTGTCTGTAATTACCCGCCTGGCATTGCGTATGTTCTCGGGGTTGTCCTTCACCGTGATGGTCAGCCTGTACTCTGCCACCCGCTCCCTGTCCAGCGGGCGGTTTACGTAGACGATGCCACTCTACCGAGAAAAAAGGGAGAAAATAGGTACAAAGGATGTGAGGCACGCTTCCCCTGGGGCATCTCCTGCCAGGGCAGTGTGAGGGAGGGCAGCATGTCAGATGGCACCCAGGGGTGCCCGGGGAAGGCAGGGCTCCTGGGCCAGCGGGTGCCCACCCTCCGCATCCCAGCATCCCACCCTCCCGGTACGGGGAGGCCGCGATCCCCGGGGCCGTACGGTGCTGTTGATGTAGAAGGCATTCTCCGTGTTGCCCGACGTTATGTCGAAGGTCAGGAGGGCATTTGGCCCCTTGTCCACGTCCCGAGCGAGGACACGGGTGACGAAGCTGGAGACGGGGGCGTTCTCACTGAGGGTGAGGTTCATCGGGAGGTTGAGGAGCACGGGGTCATTGTCATTGATGTCCAGCACACGGACACCCACCAGGATCTGCCAGGGAGAGAAGCGGTGCGGGCACGTGGCACCTATTTCCATCCCTCCCATCCTTTTTTTGGCATCCCTGGGCAAGAGGTGGGCTTCCCCACTCAGCCCACTATGGTCTGGGGGAGGAAAGCCCCAGGGACACGGGGAAGGAGGAGGAAGGGAGGAGACCCTGAGGAAGAAGCTGGGAATGGGGTATGGCACCCCACAGCCTGCCACGCCGCCCCAGGGGACTCACTGTGGAGCTGAGGGGGGGCACCCCCCGGTCCCGGGCAGCGATGGTGAGGTTGTAGAAGGGGATGTTCTCGCGGTCCAGCTCAGCATCCTTCCGCACCCGCAGCTCCCCTTCCACCGGGGAGATCACAAACTCCCCTGCCAGAGACAGCGGGGCCCTGGCTCGTACCGTGCCACTGCTAATGGCCTGGGTCCCCCGGGGGATGGCTTGTTTTTGCCCAGGGGACAGGCACCATGGCCAGTTTTGTAATGGGCTGGGTCCCCAGGGGGATGGCTTTTTTTGGACCAGGGGACAGGCACCATGGCAAGTTTGGGGATGACAGCCCCCACGCCCCATTGGTGCAGACACAGGAAGGCTATGTTGTCTGGTGTCTCTCCTGGATGCACCCCCAGGTACCAGCAGGAGCAGGGCATGGGTTGAATGGCCAAATAAGAGGTGCCCGCGCCCCTTGGCTGGGCCTTTCTGAACATGCCGACAGCCCCCCCCCAAGCACCTGCCTGTGCCCCATGATGGCCAGAGTGGGGTGGGCTACGTGGCACGGACCCCCCCCAGCTCTGAGCCGAGGGGCTGCATCCTGCTTGTTCTGGAAAAGCTTTGCAGCAGGGTCAGCCTGGAGACGGGACTGGGCTCTGCCTTCCAGATACGCTGGGCTAAAGTCACCACCCATTCACAGAGGGACAGCCGTACGTCCCCGCGGCTGGGGACGCCCATGGCCCCCTTTGCCCCCTCTTCGGGGGGCGGGGGGGAGTGCTGGTGGGGCTGGAGCTATGGCTGCACCACGGGGTGCAGAGCAACTTGGTCCCCAAGCGCCCTGCAAACCCCACGGGGGTGAGGGGTTGGGGCCGTGCGCTTGCAGGTTTCTCTTTCTGCGGTCCGTTTTTTTGCCTTTTTTATTTTTTTGCTTTTATAGTTTAGCAGATTCCCTCCCGCTCTCTCGCACAAGCCCCGGCCACCCCTTTCGCCAGCCACGAACAAGTTAAGTTTCCTGTTGCTCAAAACAGGATTTCCTGGTGTCGAAAGGCTCAGTTCGCAGAAGCGCCTGGCTGGGAGGATGGCTTTTCTGAAACGCTTCCGCCTGCGCTCCCGCCGGCTCCTGCAAGCCGGGGTTCCTCCACGGAGCAGCCAGAAGGAGAGGTGATGCCCCCACATCCCCGCTCACCGAGGGGGTCCCCGGCGATGATGCTGTACTCCACTTGCCCGCTGGGTCCTGAGTCGCCGTCATGGGCCAGGAAGGTCCAGACGCGCGGGCCGGGCTGCCCTTCCGTGACGTCGAAGGGACCCTCGTAGGGTCGAGGGAAGGTGGGACAGTTGTCATTGATGTCGTTGAGGTTCACCAGCACCTGCGGTCAGGGTGAGAGGGTGGAGGGCACTGAGAAGAGAGGGATGGAAGGGAAGACCGGTCTGCTGGCTGTGAGCATGGGAAGCCACGGACAGGCGACATCGCAAAATACCTCCTGTATTTCTGGCTTTGTTTGTGAAACATCCAGCTCACAGTTCAGAGACTCAAACTCAGTTATTCCTGATCGCGCCCATCCTGCAGCGACACTACGGAACTCCAGCCACACAGAGGCGGGGCCCTTTTCAACCTGCGCGCCACGCACCATGACAGAGAAGTCAATGCAAAAGCCAAGTGTTTTCCACATTCACATCCTGAAACCCAAGCCAGGTAGATAAAAATCACAGACGTGGATGTGACCATCAGAGCCACGAGTTCGGAGAGGCCCGATCTCTGCAACACGCTTGCTCACCAAGGGCTTCGTTCCTAATGCTGAGTAAACGTTGAAAAATTTGCAGCTTGCGTCCTTATTCCAACACAAACCACCACCAACGCTGCTGGCATGTTAGCATCCCTTCCTACGACACACTTAGCTGGCTAGAACTCAATCCTGCAGGTCTCAAAAGTGGAAAGCATCAACAGTTTTAGGACAGAGTAGACCATGGGGCTGCTGGCGAAGCTGGGGATCCAATGCACTCAAGTCTTGCTTTTTAACTGAGGAGTCACACTACGGAGAAGATACTTACATAGCTCTATACTCTACAATATCGAAAAGAGGGTTATCCCTTTGCTTCGGGGAACTTGCAGAGAGGAGAAGCCGTGCTGGAGGAGGAGAGTCTCCAGTGGCTAATAAGAGGTTAAGTTTTGGTGGTACAGGTAGTTATGAGAAAATGAGGAGCTTTCCGACCTCCTGGGTTAAAAAGGACAGTAAAATCCATCAGATGGGCATTTGTTACTGGCTAAATCTAATCTTTACAGAAGAGTCTGTTAGAGTTTCTGCTCTGTTTCCTAGCAGTGGAGAAAACAAACACTGGCACGCCTTATCAGGGTGATGGATTTCCCATCACTTGGGATCTTAAATAATCACTGATCTTCCTCCTCAAAGCTATGTTTTCATGCAGTGCTGGCACCAACTCCCTGGTCCGCGTAGGGAGGGTGCTTCCTATCCCTTCTAGCTTCAGTACTTGCTGCCGAAGGGGTTTCCAAGTTCATGTCCCTGCTTGGGCTAAGAGCAGGGAAAGCTCTGCCTTCGCCCACAGCATGCCGGCAGCCGCTGCCTTCCCTGACGGCAGTTAAACCCCAAGTCTCAAAAGGTTTCCGCTGCAGTTTTCCTGGGCCAGGAAGGCATCTCCAGCGGTATCAGATGCATACATCTGAAGGCTTCCCACCTGCCCAAGTGTGGAGCACAGAGCTGCCAGGCTTGCGGGGACAGATTTTATCCACGGAAATTTCCCACACTGGTATCTTCCCTTCAGTTTCTCTTTTTTTCTTTGCACACAAGAACTTATCTCCTTCTGGGGGACTACAAAACGCTTGGCTCAATCTGGATGAGGCACAATGGTCCACAATCTGGTCTCGGGACAATAAACCATTTCTGGGAGCCAAGACAGAAGATCTAACTGATCCCTTCCACCTGCAGACCCCAAAATCATTTTGGGCACGGACAGTGTCTGCTGTACAACCCATCAAATTTTGGTTTCAGTTACAAAAGTAATCAGTATATTCAATTCCTGCAAAATGCTTGCTTTGGAGCTGCTAGCCTGCCCTCCCCACACTTTGAGCAGTGCACTAAGTTCAGGTCACTGTGGTCCGGGAGAAATGGAAGAGCTATGGAGAGAAGCAACAAAACTGATGAGAGGCTTTAAATAACCTCCATACAAGGAATAAAAAAGGAATTTTAAAAGCAGATAAATAATGTGAGAAGATAAAGATGAAGCAGAAATGAATGCTTTGCTATCTACCGTCCCTTCGGGCAAGAAGAACCAGGGAGACCTCTAAAAGCAATATAATGCAACTTAAAAGCAACGCAGGGAATTTTTTCTGTTTGTGTCTTTGCAGGACCAAGTAATTGGGGTAATTAACCCGTGAGCATCCCTTGCCCACATCCCTGTTTTGCAATTCCCATGAGGGAGGGGGTTGACAGCAACTGGGCAAACTGGCCGCAGCTGGAAAAAGCGACTGGTGACCACTGGGAAGGAGATGTGAAACTGCTCATGTCAGGGGGAACTCCTTGACCCCGAAGAGGCCGCGGTGTCGTAACCCCACTGGCAGCTCCCTACCGTGGCAGTCGATGTCAGCCGGCGCGAGACGATGGGGCACTGGTCGGTGGCGGTGACAATCAAGGTGTAGCGCCCGTGGCTGATCTCGTAGTCCAGCTCCTTCACCGTGCGGATCTGTCCCTGCAAGGTGAGGGCAGAGCGGCTGGGAATGAAGGGACCGGGACAGGGACACGTCTGGGATGGGGCCGGCATCCTTACTGACCGTGGTGTTGTCGATGTGGAAGGTACCCAAGATGTTGCCTTCGGTGATGGCGTATGCAACAGTGCCGTTGGGTCCTTCATCCTGGTCCAGGGCCTGCACAGTGACGAGGGTGGCGTTGAGTGTGGCGGGACCTTCGTCGAGGGTCACCTCGTACAGCTGCTGCCGGAAAGCGGGAGCGTTGTCATTCTCATCCAGGACGGTGACATACACTGTGGTGGTGGCCTGTGGGACATGGGGACATCGTGTTAAGCACTGTAGAGGGATCGGCTCTGCAATGCCTGGAGCTGGCTCGGGAAGGCTGGACCTGTCAAGGTGAATGACCAACATGGACTCAACCCTGCCAAGAAACACAAACGGGATGCAGAGCTAAAAGTGGCTGCAGACATATCTCCAGGTAACGGTTGGGCACAGAGTAAACGTATAGAGATTAAATCACACCCTTGTTCCCAAGCAAAGCACGTCTCTGTGGGATCCCTCTCCTTTTCACCCAGTTTTTACCATTGCTGGTAACACTGGGGAGCAGCCTACAGCAGAGGGAAAGCCAGAGGTTGAACCCCATCGTGCCTCACTGCCTTTGGAGGAGGCATGTGTGAGTCCTCACCTTGACATTGGGGACACCTTGGTTGTTATTACCAAGGGTGGCAATGTGGTAGAATGGAAAAATACCTGGAGATGATGCTCCCACAGCTCAAGGGAGGAACAAAAATGAGCATCTCGGACAACCAGACTGACCTCCCACGGGTCCCATCATCTACCTGCTGACCATGATTTCACCGACGGTCATGCTCAGCCTGTCCTGACCCTCTTCCAGCTGTATCTGGCCCTGCACAGGCACTTGGATGTCCTTACTGAAGGTTGTCTTCTGGCCGTGTCACCATGGGGGCACACCTGGTGATGAGGAGGTGACAAGAGCACGCCACCCTGCTTAAGGGCTCAGCTCAGAGATGGGGTCTCGGGACAATAAACCATTTCTTGGAGTCTCTGGATTTTGTGCCTACACCTTCCCCTAGGAACAAATTTCTTTCAGCCAGACAAGGGTTACATTTTTGACGAGAGCATCACAGATGTGTTTGCTGTAAAAAAACCACAAAGCCACACAGTAATTGGCTATTTTTCTATTTCACTTCATGCTCCAAATTCAGAGCAGGTTAGCACCAAAGTTTCCTGTGGTTTGTAAACCTCCACGTGTCTTCAGGCTCTACTTTCCAGGGACCATCGTTCCTAAACAAGGTGGCCCTCAGCTGCAGCCAGAGATTTTGTTGATGCCTTTTGAATTCAAAGCGAAGTTCCAGGAGGAGTTACATGAGTCAGCCCTCGGTCCTGCTTTTCTATTTGATGGCAAAGCCACCCCCCGCCGTGCTTTGCTCCCCTTTTTTTGGGGGGGAAAGCTCCGTTCCCTTCCCTGAGCTGGCACCGCTTTGGGTTACCCTTCCCTGTACCTGCCTCCTGGACACCCCGGGAGGGTTTCTGCCCGCTTAATCCTTACGAACATGGGAAAAACAAGTATTACAAGCAAAGTGCACTTTAATCAAGCAAGCTGGAGACTGGCCCCATGGTGGGATCAGCTCCCACCATGGGGACCAGCACCTTGTGGCTGAGCACCCACAGCTCCCCCGGCACGGCGAGCATCCTCCTCAGCTCCCATGCACCCCGAAAACTCACGCAGGGGGACCGGCTTGCCCTAAGCTACCCCCTGCAATGCCGTAAGGGCAAAAAAAACCCCAGCAGATGCACCTCGCTGCTGCTCAAACGGGTGAGGACTGAAGTATCGCCCATCCGTGGGGTGTCCCATGGGGGTGCTGCCGCCCCCCCTCCCCGCCCTGGCCGCCCGCAGCTCCCTGCTGCATCTCACCTCCTGGGGGTGCTCGCAGTTCTCTCAATTTTCAGTGAAATTTCCTGTGCGTGCAAGTCCGGCTGCTGGTGCTGCTGCTGC